CCCCATCCTAGGAAATGCAATATTCTTACAAATATTTCCTGGTATAGTTGTGCATGGATCTCTATTGAATAAATACCTATGAGGGGAATTACTGAGCCACAAAGTATGCATCTTTTCAACTGAAGTAAATGTGTTTTTTTGTGTGTATGTGTGTGAAATGGTTGTACCAGTTTGTATTCTTCATCAACAATAGATGAGTATTCCTCTTCCTGTATATCTTTGCTAATATTTTCTATTGCTGGTTTTTAATTTTAGTCTTTCTTTCCAGTGGTGTTTTATTAGAGCTTTAATATGCTTTTTGATCATGAATGAGCACTTTTTCTTTTTTTTTTTTATTTTAGTACTCGGCGGACACAACATCTTTGTTTGTATGTGGTGCTGAGGATCGAACCCGGGCCGCACGCATGCCAGGCGAGCGCGCTACCGCTTGAGCCACATCCCCAGCCCAGAATGAGCACTTTTTCATGTTTATTATTCATTTGTGCTTTCCAGTCTCTTTTTTGTACTGTCTTTCCATTTTCTACTTAATCTTATTTTTCTGTTATACATAATTTTCTTATTAATTCATGACAGTTCTTTGTATAATCTGGAAGTGAGGGCATATTTATATATGTTGCAATAATCTCCTTTTTAGACACCATTTTTATTCTTTTCATAATATATTTTAACTAATAAAAATTCTTTATTATTTGTATATTCATTTACTTGTGGTACTGGGGATTGAACCCAGGGACACACTACCATTGAGCTACATCCCCAACCTGCTTTTTTTTTTTTTTTTTTTTTTTTAATTTTGAGACAGGGTCTTGCTAAGTTGCTTAGGGTCATGCTAAATTGCTGCAGTTGGCCTTGAACTTACAGTTCTCTTGCCTCAGCCTCCTGAGTTGCTAACTAAAATCTGTCATTTTTTAGGATTGTAATAAGGCAAAAAAGACTTCTCTACTTGTTCTTTCACAAGGGGATTTCAGCTATTCTTGTCATTTTCAATTACTATGCACATTTTAGAATAAACTTGATCTACATCAGAGAAACTTGTTGAGATTTTGACTGGCATTGCTTTGAATGTGTAAATCAATTTTGGAAGAATTCACATTTTTTACAATATTGAATCTCCAGTCTTGAACATTAGATATCCTTCCATTTAATCACTTATTTAAATGTTAAATTTCTCTCAGTAATGTTTGTTTTATACATGGGAGTCTTGTACATCTCTTCTTTCATTGGTAAGTTTTTATTATTGTTATTGTTTTTGTTTGTTCTGGGGATTGAACCCAGGGGCACTTCACTTCATCATTAAGCTACATCTCCTTGTTTTTTTTTTTTTTGGTACTAAGGACTGAACTCGGGCACTTGACCACTGAGCCGCATCCCAGGCCTATTTTTCTATTTTATTTTATTTAGGGTCTCACTGAGTTGCTTAGTGCCTTGCTGTTGCTGAGGCTGGCTTTGAACTGCTATCTGTCTCAGCCTCAGGTGCTGCTGGGATTACAGGCATGTGCCACTGTGCCCAGTTTACATCCCCTTTTTTATTATTTATTTTGAGATTGGGTCGTACCAAGTTATTAGGGGCCTTGCTAAATTGGTGAGGCTAGCATCAAATTTGTAACCCTCTTGCCTCACCCTCCCGGATTGCTGGGATTACAGGCATGTGCCATCACACCTGACTGGTATTTAGTAATTTTAAGAAAATTATAAATGTCATATTCAAATTTTTCATTTTTAACTTCATTTTGTTAAATAGACACTCCATTAATAGATTTTTATATATTGACCTTATTTTATCTAATACAGGGTTCCACAAACCATTGAACCCAGTGCCTCACACTTGCTAGACAGGTGCTCTGCCACTGAACTATAGTCTCAGCTCACCATCTGACTCTTAATAGTCAGATCCTGATCTAAAAGACTTGCTCAAGTTGCTCATTACTTCTAAGTATTTCAGAATATTTTGTCTACAGATTCTTTTGGATTTGCCATGTACCTTATAATACATCATCAGTACGGAATGACAGTTTTGTTTCTTGTTTTTCATTTCTTTCACCTATTTTTTTCTCCTTGCTATATTTCGGTCTGATTTTAGGGATTCGGATTTTTTTCAGTTTTACAGATGACTTGCAGCTGTGCTGCAGTCCATATAAGGTTTGGTTTATTCTTAGAACATGGTGCTTCAGAATCAACTCTGCACCCAAAGTTTATCTCCCTAACTTGAGTCAAGTGATATGTACCCTCTTGAGTTTGGCAAACATCTCCAACATAAGCGTTGACTTTGGATTTCAATCTTCTTCCATATCTTGGCTTGGTTATTCTTATCCCCTTGTTAAATTCCTGATTCCTCAAGTAGACTGTTAAAAATGTTTTGAATGAAATTAAACCCCTATCTCTCACCATACACAAAACTCAACTCAAAGTGGATCAAGGACCTAGGAATTAAACCAGAGACACTGAGCCTATTAGAAGAAAAAGTAGGCCCAAATATCCATCATGTTGGATTAAGCCCCGACTTCCATAATACGACTCCTACAGCACAAGAATTAAAATCAAGAATCAATAAATGGGATGGATTCAAACTAAAAAGATTCTTCTCAGCAAAAGAAACAATCAGTGAGGTGAATAGAGAGCCTATATTTGGGGAGCAAATTTTTACCACACACACATCAGATAGAGCACTCATGTCTAGGATATGTAAAGGACTCAAAAATCTTAATACCAAAAAAAAACCAAATAACCTAATCAATGAATGGGCCAAGGAATTGAACAGACATGTCTCAGAAGAGGATATACAATCAATCAACAAATATATGAAAAAATGTTTAACATCTCTAGCAATTAGAGAAATGCAAATCAAAACTACTCACTCCAGTCAGAATGGCAGCTAATAAGAATAGAAACAACAATAAGTGTTGGTGAGGATGTGGAAAAAAGGTACACTCATACATTGCTGGTGGGACTGCAAAATAGTGCAGCCAATATGGAAAGTGGTATGGAGATTCCTTGGAAAACTGGGAGTAGAACCACCTTTTGACCCAGCTATCCCACTCCTCGGTGTATATACAAAGGACTTAAAAACAGTATACTACAGGGACACAGCCACATCAATGTTTATAGCAGCACAATTCACAATAGCTAAACTATGGAACCAACCTAGAAAACCCTTCAGTTGATGAATGAATAAAGAAAATGTGGTGTATATACACAATGGAATACTATTCAGCATTAAAAGAGAATAAAATCATGGCATTTGCATGTAAATGAATGGAGCTGGAGAAGATAATGCTAAGTGAAGTTAGCCAATCCCAAAAAATCAAATGCTGAATGTTTTCTCTGACATAAAGGTGCTGATTCATAATGGGGTTGGGTTGGGGAGCATGGAGGATTAGACAAACTCTAGATAAAGTAAAGGGGAGGGAGGGGAAGGGAGGAGGCATGGGGTAGGAAAGACAGTGGAATGAGATGGACATCATTACCCTAAGTACATGTATGAAGACACAAATGGTGAGACTCTAATTTATGTATAACCAGAGACATGAAAAATTGTGTTCCATATGTATAATATGTATTTTGTAGTGCATTCTGCTATCATATATAACAAATTAGAATAAAAAATAATAGGAATGGGGTTGCAGCTCAGTGGTAGAACGCTTGCCTCGCGTGCATGAGGTCCTGGGTTCAGTCCCCAGCACCACATAAAAATAAACAAATAAAAATAAAGATATTTTATAATTAATTAATTAATTAATTAAAAATGATTTGACTATCATTTCTAGTTCTGAGCTAAGAGAGTTTGTCAGAATTACCTAGTCTGTCTTTACTGGAATAGAACTGAAGAGCCAAGATTTGAACTGAGTTCTATTCAATTACACGGTATATACTTTGAATTACATACTATATTGCCTTATATGCCCTTTGTTATAAAAATAAACATCATTTTAAAAAGCATTTTTAGTTGTAGATGGATACTTTATTTTATTTATTTATTTATTTATTTTTATGTGGTGCTGGGGATTGAACCCAATGTTTCACATGTGCTAGGCAAGAACTCTACCACTAAGCTACAGCCCCAGCCCCCAAATAAACATCATTTTACACTTTATATTATTTATGCTTTTCAAGGAAGAAAGTATCACAAGGAAAAAACTTAAGGCTTGTTTTTTTTCTCTCTCTTTTTTTTAAATTTATTTATTTTTTAGTCATACATGACAGTAGAATGCATTTTGATATATAATACATACATGGAATGTACATACATCAATCTTATTGTGTATTCTAATCTGCTGCCCTTCCTATCCTCCCTACTCCTCCCCTCCTTTCTCATCCTTTCTCTCTATCCAATCTAATGTGACACACTTTTTTTTTCTTTTTCTCATTACAACATCATATATGTATTCTGTATAACAATGAGGTTCTCCTCCCATCTTCTGTGCAACTCCCCTTCTCCCTCTTTTTCCCTCCCATCTCTCTTCCCTATTTAGTGGTAGTCTTCTTCTCATGCTCTTCCTCCCAATCCCATTTGGAGTCACTCCCCTTATATCAGAGAAGACATTCGGCGTTTGTTTTTTAGGGATTGGCTAACTTCACTTAGCATAATATGCTCTAATGCCATCCATTTGCGCAAATGCCATGATTTTATTGTTTTTTAGTGATGAGTAATATTCCATTGTGTATAAATGCCACGTTTTTTTAAATCCATTCATCTATTGAAGGGCATCTAGGTTGGTTCCACATTCTAGCTATTGTGAATTGTGCTACAATAAACATTGATGTGGCTGTGTCCCTGTAGTATGCTCTTCTTAGGTCTTTTGGGTATAGTCCGAGAAGGGGAATAGCTGGGTCAAATGGTGGTTCCATTCCCAGCTTTCTAAGGAATCTCCATACTGCTTTCCAAATTGGCTGCACCAATTTGCAGTCCCACCAACAATGTATGACTATCTTTTTCCCCGAATCCTCGCCAGCACTTATTGTTGTTTGACTTCATAATGGTTTTTTTTTTTTTTTCTCTTTAGTGAAGCAAATAAGCAACATGTTAGATGTCAGAAATGCTTGGAATTTGGACATTGGACTTATGAATGCACAGGAAAAAGAAAATACCTCCATAGGCCTTCAAGAACAGCAGAACTAAAGAAAGCTTTAAAAGAAAAAGAAAAATTATTATTACAACAAAGGTGGGTTTACATGTGGTATACAAAGGAATATTTTATAAGTACTTTTAGATTTTATTAAGAGAATTAGATTTTATTAAGAGACGAAATGTTTTGTGGTGGTTTTCCAGATTTTAATTATGTAATAGTGTCTGGGCACAGTGGCGCATGCTTGTAATCCCAGCAGTTCCAGAGGTTGAGGCAGGAGGATCACAAGTTCAAAGCCAGCCTCAGCAAAAGCGAGGCAATAAGCAGTGAGACCCTGTCTCTAAATAAAATACAAAATAGGGCTGGGGATATGGCTCAGTAGTCGAGTGCCCCTGAGTTCAATCTCTAGTCCCCACTCCCCCAAAAAATTTTATAATAGCGAATGTTTAGTGAATGCTTACTATGTACTAGGCACTATACTAAACTCTACAAGTATTAGCTTATTTAAGCCTCAAATCTATAATATTAAGGTAGATACTATTTTAATCCTCACTTTACATGTGAAGAAAGTGAGACACAGCGAGGACAGTAACTTGTTTTGTGTTGTGCAACTAGTAGAAAAGTTCATTGTTCAACCAACCAGTCTGTCCCTAGAGTCTACGCTCTTAATCATTGCTCTATTGCCTCAACTATCAATGGAATGGCAACAGGATATTATAAGGTACATGATCTGAATAGATATGGTAAGCTATCCAATATACAATAAGTGTATCAATAAACTAGAGAATAGTATATATAATATACTATAATTTATGTTAAAAAAAGAATAATAGAATTATTTTTGAAAATATAAGTGATTGGTTATAGTGATTGCTTCCTACAAGAACTAGATAGGAGGGGAACTGGAAAATTATTTAGTCTTTTATGTTCTTTGACATAAGACATTCAAAATTCCTATGAGATGAGTATTTGTTTATTAAATAAGCTGAAGTAGGAAAGTGTTGGGTTTAGTTAGTGTTGCAGATTAGAAGCAGCATCTTTATAAGGACTATTAGCTACATAATAGTATAGTAAACATCTGGACTTCCACAGAAGCAGTCTTCCACTCTGCACAGGTGAAATTTCTTCCAGGGTCATGCAGGGATAAACAACAACAACTTCTTCTTCTTCTTTTTTTTTTTTTTTAATTTTCTTTTTAGTTGTAGATGGACATAATACCTTCATTTTATATATTTATTTTTTTTCTGGTGCTGAGGATTGAACCCAGTGCCTCACAGGTGCTATGCAGTTGTTCTACCATTGAGCTACAACTCCAGCCCATAAATAATGAACTTTTATATCATCAATATTCATGTGTACCTTTTCAGAAACAAACCTGTGTAAGAACATGCCTGTTAAGCAGGCACAGTGGCAAGCACCTGTAATCCCAAACTGATTGCAGGTTCAAGGCTAGCCTCAGCAACTTAGGCACTAAGCAATTTAGTGAGACCCTGTCTCAAAATAAAAAAATTAAAAGGGCTGGAAATGTAGCTCATTGACATAGTGCCCCTGGGTTCAATTCTTGGTAAAAACAACAACAAAAAATTGTGCTTATTGGTTCTCCTCCTGTTCCACATTTCTTTTTGATTAAGTGGATTGTATATCATAGATAGCCTAAAATAGGAAACTTTCTACTTGGTTATAACAAGGAATACTGTACTCTGAGTATATGTTATAAAGCAAGTGTTTCTATGATGTAGAACAGCTTTGGGGAATGGCAGAAGGGTTTGTTTAAACTGTGTATATATTAACAGGACTTTTTTTTTCTCTATCAGCATGTCTATCAGCACTGGAGAGACCAATGTAGAAAAAAAGACCAAGAAAAAAAGGTATTTGTGGCTTTGGAAGTATTAAATAGATATATGTCATGCTAGTTGGTGGGATGAGAATGGTGATTTTGAAATAACAGATATAAGATTTGATTCTGAATTCTGTTGTTTGCCATTCAATAATGGTAATACTAACCTATTTGGAATTTATTGCCTCCATTTCTCCTTTTTTTGTGTCTTTCTAGAGTTCTTACACCTGGAAGTAGTAAATGTCTTCTTTTGGTTTAAAATAGGAAATTCTAGATGAATAGGAAATTGTTGGACAGCCCTATCTGGTCTGAAATAGTTAAAATGAAGAGTATGAAGCTGGGGATGTAATTTAGTGGTAGAGCACTACCTAGTATGTGCAAGACCCTGCGTTTCCTCCCCAGCACCATCAAAAAACAAAGAATAGGGGCTGGGGATGTGGCTTAAGCGGTAGCGCGCTCGCCTGGCATGCGTGCGGCCCGGGTTCGATCCTCAGCACCACATACAAAGATGTTGTGTCCGCCAAAAACTAATAAATAAATATTTAAAAAAAAAAAAAAACAAAGAATATAAAAATATTTATTATTCTATATGAGATTTAAATAGATCTAATTGTTAAACTGCAGCTTTATTCGAGTATTATTCACTCTGAAGCATAATAAGAGTAGATAGGCTGATTGGGAACCCCATCCAAGAGTTTAAATTACTGAAGTAAAAAAGATCTTGTAAAGGGTGCAGTTGTGACTTAAAACAGGCAATTCCCAAAGCATCAAACCTAGAACATTCTGGCAAAGCATAACAATGTGCATCCATAATGCTATATGAAATTGCTTCTAAACATTCTATTACATATCAGCTTCCCATGTATATACTGTTCATTGTCTAATAGGTCGAAGAGTGTAACTAGTTCCAGTAGCAATAGCAGTGACAGTTCAGCCAGTGATTCTTCATCAGAGAGTGAAGAAACATCTACCTCATCTTCCTCAGAGGACAGTGACACCGATGAGAGCTCCTCTAGTTCTTCATCTTCAGCTTCCTCCACAACCTCTTCCTCCTCCTCTGATTCAGACTCAGACTCCAGCTCTTCCAGTAGTAGCAGCACCAGCACAGATAGCAGCTCTGAAGATGAGCCACCAAAGAAGAAAAAAAAATAATGGCTCTATCCATATTGGACTCATGGACCAGAAATATCAATGTGATTCTCAGAAGAGAACTTAGACAATGTTAAAGCCAAATAGGTTAACTGGTCAAACTTTCTAGAGTTCAAAAATCTCAGTGGCTACAGAGGCTGAGGCAGGAGGATTGCAGGTTCAAAGCCAGCTTCAGCAACTAAATGAGACCCTAAGCAATTTAGCACAACCCAGTCTCAAAATAAAAAATAAACAGGGATGGAGATATGACTCAGTAGTTAAAGACCCCTGGGTTAAATCCCCAGTAGACCCCCACTCCCACCCCCACCCAAAGTTTCTAAGTGTTTTACATTGTAAAAACATAAAGATTATTAACATATACACATATATATTTATGCACATATATTTGACTTTTATTTTAGAGATGAATCTTGTTTTTCTTTTTTAATCCTTAAAATATATCTGTAGACTTTAATCAAAGCTGAAATCTAGTAAATATGTTTTTGTGATGGAACTTATTTTTTCTTCCTGTAAAAATAAATGCCATGCTTTGTTATATGTTAATGGTATATGTCAGGCAGGTTTTCAGGATAATGCTTAGAATATCTGGCAAAGAATTTCTAATGCTTTCGACTGTGTTACTATGTAAAATTTAATACATTGTTACTATAACCTTAGGAGTTTTCCTACTGTTAATAAATGTACTCTATTTTCATGTTTATCTTCAGAAAGTTATTTTGACTTTTTGTCCTGATAAGTTCATGGGACCTATAAATATATTTATACCTTTTAAATGCCGCAAGTTTCAAGTTGCTGTGTTATATCATTCAATTCCTTCTGTTTCCTTAAGTTCTTAGAGTTACCCTTTCTGAGGAAAATCATTCTAAAAAGGGACAAAAAATCTGAAACTAAGGAGTCTAATTTTGGTGCCTTTCAAAAAAATTCAGAGTATCTAAAAAGAAAGCAACAAAGTAAAAGTGCTATAAATATCTTTATGTAGTAAAAATACTATAAAAAGTACAGTTCAAAGTTGGAGAAAGTAGGAAGAAGAGTGGTGATTTTCCAAAAATCAGGACAGAGTTGGTTGCCTTTAAGAATGCCTTTCTGTGTTGTGGGTCATTGGTAGAGTGCTTACCTAATGTGTGAGGCACTGGGTTTGATTCTCAGTACCACATATAAATACATAAAAAATAAAGATGTATTGACAACTAAAAAAATATTTTTTTAAAAAAGAAGGTTGCCTTTTGCCATTTTTGTAATTATGGTATGACAATTTATATGGTATTTGGTAAATATGACAGTCTACTACTGAATAATGAAGATTAATGTTGTGTTTACATATCATATACACAGTTAAATCTAACATGAAGGTTAAAAAGGAAATACTGTACAATGTTCCTTAAAAGTAAAATACCAGGCTAGGGATATAGCTCAGTTGGTAGAGTGCTTGCCTCACATGTACAAGGCCATGGGTTCAATACCCAGCACTACCAAAAAAAAAAAAAAAGTAAATTATTTATTGTGATGAGATTGGTTTAACATCACATTCTGTGATGTCTTCTAAACTTTTTGGAAAAAGGTCTCATTTATAGAAAAATCTTGATTTGGTTTAAATATAGGTTTTCAAAACTTTTTTAAAAAATAATTCAATGAGAAAGTGGTAGAAAGCTACTTTTGAAGAAAATGAGCTTCTCTTTACATGTTTAAATGTTTGTATGTTTTGAGTTTAGAAAGTCTGTAATTACCTGTAAATTTTGTAGAACCATCTGCTTTCATTTGTAAATAAACTTTACTTTAAAAAATATTTCAGAAGGCTTCACCGAGAATGTATCACTTCACAGGTAGATTTAATAAATCACTCTTCAAACATACTAACACTGTTCATTGTCTCTGCAAGGGCAATTTTTGCAAGCTAAAGAACTTAGAAGAGAAAAAAGTATGTACCTAGGAAGCATTCCTTGCAATTAAATAAAACTCAGAACTTATGCTCACAAGCTTAAACTCTTTGCTATTTTATTTAATGCCAGTTCTTACTCCTTTTGAAGCTAAGGGCATTTAAACAAATTCTAATTTTAATTTTTTACTGTTACACCTGTTAAATGTATACTTGCAGAACTATAGAAGGCAGGAATTTGATTCTTTTCTAATCATGTATTCCTGGGGCGGGGGACGGGACAGAATCAGTGGCAGAGTATAGACTTACTTGGAAAGAATTTCTCTCCATCCCGCCCAGGAGCAGGACTCTGGGAGTTGAATCCCTGGTGAATATAGGAAATGTATTATTCCTCAACCATAATCATGTCAAAAAAAGATTTTCGTTCCACAAACATTTCATTAGAGTGATTGTACAAAATAGTACTTACAGCCTAGAATCAAAACACAGTGTTAGCCATAAATTAACACCAGAAGTGGAAATAAAGCTCCAAAGACAATGTTGTAATTCTAATTTTTAAGTTTTTATTTTTGGGGCTGGGGATGTGGCTCAAGCGGTAGTGCACTCGCCTGGCATGCGTGCGGCCCGGGTTCGATCCTCAGCACCACATACAAACAAAGATGTGTCCGCTGAAAACTAAAAACAAATAAATATTAAAGTTTTCATTTTGAACTGATTGTATATTTACAGAAAGTTTGCATTAATAGTACAGTTTCTTTATATTTTCTACCTAGCTTCCCCTAATCTTAACATCTTACATAATCACAGTACAACTGTTAGAGCCAAGAAATTAACATTTGGCAAAATAAATCCAGAAACTTACTTCTATTTGACCAGTTTTCCAACTAATATCCATTTTGTCTTTCAGAATACTATCTAAAACTGCATTCTGTTTCTTCTACCTTTCCTTTAATCTCAAAAGTTCCTCATTCTTGTCTTTCATACCCTTTCAATTATGAAGAGATTTTATCAGTTATTTTGTCTAATGGCCTCCATTTGGGTCTATCTTTTTTTTTTTTTGTGAGGTTTTTGGAAGAGGATCATAGAAATGAAGTGTCCTCAGTTCTTTATATCACAGAATTCTGGCACCAGCCTTGATCACTTGTTTATGGTGGTTTCTGTTAGATTTTTCTGTGTTATAGTTTTCCCTTTTTAGTTAATAGATATCTTGGAGATATTTTAACCATAAGCAACTGGTTTTTCCTCAAAGTCACCTACTAGTTTTAGTGGCTATTGTCCACAACAGCTGTTATTCTGATGCTTTCTGAATGACAGCTTTTCTGTTTCTTTTCTTCCTACATTTGTTAATTGAAACTCATTTAGGAAGACCTGTCTCCTTTCCCCCATTTATTTATTTGATTACTTATAGTATGGACTCATGGATGTATATTTTGTCTTGAGGTGAAGTAAAAATTCAATGTCATTTTGTTGCTTAAGTTATTTCCCCTTTGGCTCTTAGGAGACTTTCAAATTGACTCCTGGGTTCTTAACAAACCCTCTTCTCTCTCTGTCTCAGCCCACCCCACCCCAGATTTTCTTAGTTTTGGGGACTGACCAGAGATACCCATCTCATTTATCTTTTCTTTTTTTTCCCTTTGGCAGGGGAACTGGAGATTGATTCCAGGGGCTAAGCTACATTCCCAGCCCTTTTTGGTTTTTGTTTTGAGTAGGGTCTTGCTAAATTGCTGAGGCTGACCCTCCTGCCTCAGCATACCAAGTCATTGGGATTGAAGTTGTGCATCACCCACCCAGCTCAACTCATTTATCATGATCTCCCTGTCTCAACTTTGGAACCAATCACTTCTCCAAGGGACCCTCACTGGACAACAGATCTTGGAATTCAAGATCTGGGTGCTATCTTTGTTGTCTTTTTACATATTTTTAATAATAGTGTCATGAGATAGTTACCTAAGGTGTGAAACCTTGCTGTATTAGTCCATTTTGTGCTGCCATAACAGAATACCCCAGACTTGAGTATTTTATAATTAGTAATAATTTGCTGGGGATAGTGGCAAATGACTGTAATCCCACTGATTCTGGAGGTTAAGGCAGGAGGATTGCAAATTCAAGGTCAGCCTCAGCAACTTTGCAAGGCCCTGTCTCAAAATGAAAAACAAAAAGGACCTTGGGCTGGGGATGTGGCTCAAGTGGTAGCACGCTTGCCTGGCATGTGTGCGGCCCGGGTTCTATCCTCAGCACCACATACAAACAAAGATGTTGTGTCCGCCAAAAACTAAAAAATAAATACTAAAAAAAATTCTCTCTCTCTTTTAAAAAAAAAGAATTCAGGGGCACTGAACCTCTGAGCCACATCCCCAGCCCTTTTATAGATACAGATATATATTTTTTTTAATATTTATTTTTTAGTTTTCGGCAGACACAACATCTTTGTTTGTGGTGCTGAGGATCGAACCCTAGCCGCATGCATGCCAGGCGAGGGCGCTACCGCTTGAGCCACATCCCCAGCCCCTTTTTTTGTATTTTATTTAGAGACAGGATCTCACTGAGTTGCTTAATGCTTCACTAAATTACTGAGACTGGCTTTGAACTCATGATTCTCCTGCCTTACCCTCTCAAACTGCTGGGATTACAGGTGTGCGCCACCACACCTGGCTCAACGTGTTTTAATGGGGTAGAGATTCAAACTTTAGCACTTGGCATCAGCTGGAAGAAATAACATGATCCCCGCCCCCGCCCTCGCCCCCGCCCTCTTGGCATTGCTAAATTGCTAAGGCTGGCCTTGAACTTAGGATCCTCCTATGTCAGCCTCTGCAGTTGCTAGGATTTCATTCCTGTACCACCAAACCCTGCTCCCACTTTAACCTTCCTTGCTTCACTTTTACAGGACTCTTTCTTAGGACCAGTGTTTTCCCACCCTCCTTCCCTTCCTTCCCTTCCTTGTTTACCCAGAAGTTGGGGTTGTTGAGCACAGGTTCTACAACTGAGGTCCCAGCCATGCTTTCTTTAACACCAGATGGAAGAGGCAGTCTTTAATTACAAATTTTCATTACTGCCTCTTTTCCCCAATTCTGCAATAAATCTGCATAAAGTTGCATGGAGTATAGCTCAGTGGCAGAGTGCTTGCCTGACATACACAGGGCTGTGGGGGTCAATCCTCAGGACTGAAAAAAAAAATTGTCTTTAAATATAGGCTAAATATCCCATTTTCTGATACCAAGCTGTATCCTTGACAGAAATATTTTTTTATTTTTTTAAATATTTATTTTTAGTTTTCGGCGGACACAACATCTTTGTTTGTATGTGGTGCTGAGGATCTAACCCATGCCAGGCGAGTGCGCTACCGCTTGAGCCACATCCCCAGCCCCAGAAATAATTTTTTAAATGAGGGAAGCCCTCAAAGCCTAATCACCTCTCACTTCTTAATTATAAGAATTTAAAATGGCAATTAAATTTTAATGTTATGGATTAGTTCCTTATTTGAAAGAAGTTGACCCAAACACCATTTCCAATTGTTTTTGTTGTTGTTGTTTTCAGTGTTGGGCACTGAACCCAGAGCTTTATGCATGCTATATAAGCACTTGTATCACTAAGCTACACCCCCACCCCTCCATTTATGTTTCTATAAAGTTTTTTACACCTAGGAAAATTGTACCATAAAAAAGAGTTAGAGATGTGTGTTTGTACTAGAGAGAGAGAGAAAAAGAGATTATGGAAAGAGAAAAGAAAATCAGTATGATATCTGGACTACAGATTGATTCTCGCTTCAAGTTTAGGAGTGGGTACAGATGGAGGTTGAGGACTTGGAAATTGCTGGTGTTTTTGAAAAGTCTTATATGGTCCCCCCAAATATTTGTGTTTGCTATTGCAGGTAATTAGTAATACCAACCACAAATACTAATAGAGCTGTTATTTAGAAGGTTCTATACAAAGACATAAAAGTTCAACAATTCTTTCTTTGGTGTTCACTATCCAACTGGAAAGACTAGATAAATACAAAACAAATAATCAAAGGGAGGGGTTATGGAGATAAGAAAGATGGTAGAATGAGATGGACATCATTACCCTAGGTACACATATGATTGTGCAGATGGTGCCTTTTTACAACGTGTATAACCAGAGAATTGAAATGTTGTGCTCCATTTGTGTACAATGAATTGAAATGCATTCTGCTGTCATGTACAACTAAGTAGAACAAATAATAATAGTAAAAGAATTATGAAAAAGGACTTTCAGTGAAACACGTAAAATGAATCCAATGTTCATTACCATTTCTTCCTGAAATCTAACTAAAATGGCAGAAAAGAAGCAAAACAAAATAGGAAAAAAATATACCCATAAGGCACTACTCAGTGTTCTCATATATAAAAACATATGGATGTAGATATACATGATATTTATTATATGAATTGACTCATGTGATTACAGAGGTTAAGAATTCCCACAATGTTTGGGCTGGGGATGTGGCTCAAGCGGTATTGCGCTTGCCTGGCAGGCGTGCAGCCCGGGTTCGATCCTCAGCACATACAAACAAAGATGTTGTGTCCGCCGAAAACTAAAAAAATAAATAAATATTAAAAATTCTCTCTCTCTCTTTAAAAAAAAAAAAAAAGAATTCCCACAATGTACTGTCTGCAAGGTAGAGAACTAGGAAAGTCAGTGGTATAACCTTGTGAATCCAAAGACCTAGGAGACAGGGGGAGCTGATAATATAAGTACCAATGTTATGGTTTGGATCTGGAATGTCCATCCAAGGGCTCAAGTGTTGAAAGCACAGTCCCCAATGCCACAAGTTTCCAAGGTGTGGCTTTTAGGTAATGATTGGATCATGAGGGCTCTGACCTTAAGATTGGATTAGTTGCTTGATAGTTTGATGGTCTGCTGGGAGGTAGGATCTAGTTGGAGGATGTTGGTCACTGGGGGAATGCCTTGCAAAAGGTTTATCTTTTCCCCAGCCCCTTCCTTTATCCCACTCTTTCCTTCCCTGAGGCCATAAACTGACAGCTTTCCTCTACCACACCTTTCTGCTATGATGTTCTACCTCACCTTAGGCTCAGAGACCTGAGTCCACCATCTGTGGACAGAATCCTCTGAAACCATGAG